AAAAAAAAAAAAAAAAAAAAAAGTGTGTGCGCCCAGTGATATTAATCTTCTTTTTAAAGCACTGTTAGATCCTCTAATCAAGTGCTGGAATAGAATTGTCTGCTATTGATAGAGGTGGCATTTTGGAGAGGATTCATCCCTGCCATTGTGCTAACCTAAGTTATTTCCCCTGTAGTTTTTTCATTCTTTTTTTTTGTGTTTTTTCCAACCCTGCAATCTTGTTTATGGCTATACTAGTTGAGCCTCTTTGGCTCTTGCCATTGACAAGGGGATGGGTTAGCTGTCAGCATTAGTTTCACGGTGTCTTCTATGCATTGCACCTTTCAGTGCATTGCTCACCATGAAACTCCCTTGTTGAGCAGTTTATTCTATGACTGTCCATACTGGAACGCCTGGCAACTTCCTTTGAATTGTCTGCTGCTGGTCACAGTCTGACTTAGGATACTGGAAATGACAGAACTGCTGTGTCTGATTGGACAGCTGGTGGGACATAGTGCATTAATGCGCCATTGCGACGGCACATTAAGTTTAGTACCTGTAATGTGAGGTACTAACTAAATGCTCAGTAGCTCGCACTGCAGCTCAGTAGCAAAGATGCATGGTCTTTTTGTGACGCTTAATGCGCAGTAGACTAATTCTACTGTGTATTAGCATGGCTTGTGCTGTGACACACTAGTGTGCAGGAGAATTAGTCTACTGCACATTAAGTGTCTCGTGTAGACGTGCCCAGTGAGTCTGAAATCAAGTAGAAGGCAGAGTAGATTTGCACCTTATAGACTAGTCTAAGTAGATATATATATAATCCCAGCTTTCGAGAGCTGAAGCTTATATCATCAGATGCCGTGAAAGGACATGTAGAAAGCAGAATATAAGGAGAGCGAAATCAGAATTAGGTAACAGGTAGCAGTTGCTTCAGGGGAGGGTTTAAGAAACAAGTGTGAAATGATGGAATAACTCATCTACAGGGAAACTTTTCTTTCTCATCCATCCCCACTTACTGGATTAGATGCTCCACAAGTATGTTCAGGTATCTTCACCACTACTGTGGTACTCAAGAACAGTGATTTTAATGGAGTTTGAAAACTTCTTTGTATTTCAGATTAAACTAATGTGTTTTTTTAACAAGTTGTTGCTTAGTTACATTAAGGTCTCTTAAGAACCTTCTAGATGATGCATCAGTAATATTAAAAATATGTTGTTTTTGCTTATCACGTGGCTCCTTAATACCTAGGTGACCTATACACAGAAGCTAGACTATATGAGATTCTGATATTATCCTCCACCTCTGCACTCCCACGCAGTTCCGTAGAACTGTATATATGGAAATCACAAGGCCCAGGATGAAAGTGCCACCATCTCTGGGGTGGAGTGCAGTAGCTGTTTATCAGCACGCAGCAATTACCCAGGTTGGGGATAAGCATCCTGCAATTACAGAGGTGGAATTTAACCTAGACCCAGATGCTAACACAAACGTAAATGAAGACTGGGCACTAGTCGGCCCTCTCACCTTGCCAGTTTAAGCAGTTTGCTCCCTTTCCTCCTAACGAGCATTACAAAAAATTCATGCACAACTGCGAGAGAAAATAATTTTGGAGAGGAAAGTCTGAACAGGGGAATTTATTTTTCTTCTGCACAGGGCCCTTGGAGGAAAGTAGTGTCTGTAGTAATGAGCTGTTTCACCACTGCATTACTCCAGATTCAGGTCAATGTTGTGATTCTTTTGCTCAATGGCACAACATCCCTTGTTTCATGCCGGTGTAAGCATGGCCTCTCAGGCCTTAGGTCAGTATTTTCAGGTATTGGAGAAAACTGAAAAATAAACCATATATTACCTAACCACTTATTGTCTCTCTCTCCTTAATTTCTTGCCACAGGCCTAAAGATGCTATAAAAGCATTAAAGAAGAAGCTTTTCAAAAACTATAACCATAAGGAGATTAGATTTACCTTGTCTGTAAGTACAACTCTACTTGTATTTAATTAGAAACTGGGTGGAAAACACTAAAAGAAAATGCAATCGATGTTGGATGTTGACCTACAGATTGTAAATTCTCTAGTCATGACAGTCTTCGTAGTTATTGTTTGTCTCTACAGAACCCAATACAATACAGCCCTGTTCCTTCGCCATGTTGGAGCTCCATATAATGTAAATAATAATCTTTTGTAATCCTCAAATTTGTAAGTTGTGAGCCAAAAAAGCAGTCATGTGGTCCCCACGGACTCTAGTGACTGCCCCAGACAAATCCCTGCCAAGCTCTGAAAGCTGAAGAAGCTGGACTATTGTAGGAAGGTTTAACTGACTTGATAATTCCCTTAATCACACACGATAGTCAAACATTTGTAAGATACTACGCAGCATTGTGGAATGTGCAGTCATACTAAAATAATAAAGGTGAAGAGGAAGCTGACGTTGCACTGTTTAAGAGAGAAGCCGTATCGAATTCAGATCCGAATCTGAGCTTTCAGATCTTTCTCAGAGCTTTGAGAGGAAAGAAGGAGCTTCTCATATGGTGAGGTCTCAGTCATAATGTTCACACCTATTTATGAACCTTCCCAAAGTTTAGGGCATCATTTTATTTGGGGCCTCTCACATCTTCACAGTTCTCCCTTCTCCTGTCCACTGACATTATAGGTCAGATTCTGATTTCCTTTACGCTGATATAGATCCCTTCCCTCAGTGGAATTATTCTTGGTTTATGCCCAGGGAATAGGCTCTGTACCTTACATGCTATCATAGACTGGGGTTAAAATAACCTTTGAGGATTTCATTTCCTTTTACCATTTTTTATTATTGGGACATAAAAGCTTCCCTTTGTCACATATGTTTGAGCCCTGTTACTCATTGTGTGGGTATGTCCGGTACCGATTGTACCAAATTGTTCTCAGCAAGCACTGATAAATAATTCAAATATATCAGTGACTGACACTGTTAAATGCGGGACAGTCAGGATTGTCCACATGTCACCTGCTGATTCAGACAGACAGCTAAATATGCCAGGCTTCTTATCAAGTATAACTTAACTTCTCCCACTGCCCTGGTTCCCTCCTCCTTTCCTTCCTCACTATCTTCAGTGAGTCACCTTTGTGCTCTGCATGTTTGCCTAATGTAAATGCTTTGCTTCCGCTTTGAGTACAGCCTCCATCTTGGGCCTGTTTTCTCTTGCAGGTCTGTGTTTGTCTTAGTAGCTGAACATGGTACGGATTGGCTGGGATGATGATAACCTCTAGCTCTGAGCTTTACGAGCGTTCATCTGACAATAGGTCCGTTATTGTGCTGACTCTTCGGAACAAGAACATGGAGCGGGGGGTTGTACTGTATCATGGAAACACTGGGCTCTTGAAAAATATATTAGGTGGCAGCTAACAACTGGTAGACTTCAGGTGTATAGGCCATTGCAAAACAAATGGGCTGCAGCTATGCTGTACTCTCTCTCAGGCTCTCTCTGACTTCAGACTCTACCTTCTCCCACTCTTGCCCAATTTGCTTCTGCCAGGTCATTTCAAACTTTCCACCCCAGATGTTTTGCTCTGTTTCTAGTTCCTCTCCCCTTCAATAAATCAGCCTTCCTTCTTTTAAAAGTTCTGCTCAAAGTTCCTCTGCGCCCACCCCATCCTCCTCAATTCCTGCTTCCTTCCAGGGGCTTCAGGTGCTCCTGTACACTGCTAATGCCTTTTCTTCTCATTGCCATCTGTCTTCCGTTGCCGCCACCTTGTTTTTGCCACTGGTCACGGCATCAGTAAAACTTCCACTACGATGTCTTTAGTGCCAGCTGTGTTTGATTTTACTTCCCTTGGTCTCAGTGCCTTGCTTTCCTGGGGGCTAGAGCTAGTAGAATATTTTCTGCTATACATTTGTGAAGGGAAATAATAGTGTAAGAGTGATGCTGTATCTATGATGGTGCAGAAATTATACAGGAGGCAAGGATTTCTTAGGGTGGTGTCTTTTATGGGACCAACTGTTTAGTTGGGGTGCAGGCAAATGGGTATTTTCATGGAAAATAGTTTGGTTGTTGGCCAGTAAACAAAACACCTTTTTCCCCTCCAGTTCCCTCTCTTTTTCCTGTTCAGTCACTGGAAAATAGGTGGGGAGGGAAGAGACAAAAGAACCTCAATAATTTTCAGTTTTTAAAAACTGTTTTTTAAAATCAAGTCTTCAAAAAAACCAGAATCCTGCCAAAGCTAGTTGTTTTTTCCAACCTGCTCTGTTTGGTTTGTCCTCTCTGTGCCAGTAGCTCTTCTTCTTAAAGCCACCTATTGAAACCTGTCCCCTTGCCCAGTTACTTGGGATACAACATAGAGAAAGACAAAAGAAGTGAGCCACCTTCTTGGGGAAATATTCTGATCCACTTTTATTTACACAAGATCATGGCGTTAGAATTAGTCACCCTATACCCAGCGTGTTCTTTGCAAGATTACACCTGTGAAATGTTTAAACAACACTGGACAAAATTGTCCTGAAAGTTTGTTCTGGCTCATTGTAGCAGAGTCACACCTGTAGTTCCGGCTCCCGGACTTGAGAGACAAACACGGGTATGTACATGGAAAACCTCACATGCCTGAGGAGTCCCATGGAGCCCTGCGGCACTGGTGCTGTGAGCTTACGTTTTGTAGGTCCGGGGTCTTAACTCAGTTGAGAGCCTTTCATCAAAAGGGTTATTACATCCTAGCGCTGCTCCTACTATATGGATCTTTTTTCATTAGCCTTGCCTACATGACAGACTTACTGAGCCAGGCAGTGCCACCCTCAGACACCTGTTTGCTCCTCCCGAGCCAGAAGGAGCAGGGCACATTTGCATGGCGCCGGGAGTAGCACAGCCAAAAGTCGGTGCCAAGTCACTTCCCCCAAAAGTCGGTGCAACACAGGCCTGGCTCCCCTGCTTCTAGTTAAGGAAGACGTGTGCCCGTGACAGTGCTGTGTACATGAGGGCGGCACTGTCAGGACTGGTACGTTTGTGGTGATGACTTGGCCTGAGTGTCTCGTGTTTCTTTATGTGCTTTTTTATCTGGGAGGGAAGACGAGTGACAGCCAGCTGGATCAGACGTAGTGGGTATAGCTTAATTTTCAGCACTCGGGTCTGGGGAAGATACCTGCTGCTCGTGAAATCACATGGGTCCAGATTTATGCATGCCTGGCCTTGTTGCTTCACGTGGTATCTTTGATAAAGCCAAGAGATGGGACTCAGCAATGCAGATTGCACAATCAGATGTCAGGAAGGATTATGGCTTTCAGGCAGGTATCTAGGGGAAGGTGCATTTGGTTGTTTGATTTATATTTGTGTGTGTGTGTGTGTGTGTGTGTGTGTGTGTGTGTGTGTGTGTGTGTGTGTGTGTGTATGTATGTATACATGCGCATGTATATAATTATTCTTAATAGACACTGGGTGTGTGTGAAACCTGTTTGCGTGTCAGATAATTTTGTTTAAAAATAAGGCACCTCTACAGTTTATGAGAGTTGTTAACTCTTTCTTTGTTTTTATAAAGCACTTAGCACCATGCCCCAATTTCACTGGGGCCTTTGAACGTTACCAGAGTGGTGGAGCTGGCCCAAACGCAGAAAATGAATGTTACATGGACACAAAGCGAGAAATGTTAAAGGGTCACCTTTGTGCAGGGTTTAAGTGCCAGTACTTTGCGCTTTCAGAATATTGTTTCAAAGTACTTGAACGTATTGAATATTTTTCCTGCAAGGTTTATTTGCTTGTTTGTTTTTCTCTTCCATTTTTTTTTGCTTTTGATGCCTGTACGTTTTTCTGAATTCCTCCAGTTTTGGAAAGGTTTGAAGGAAATTTCAGTATTTCTTTTGTCAATAACTTTTTTTCTTGAAATTGAAGATTTGGGAAAAGACAGAACAATGAAAAATGAAAGATCCCCCCGCCACACACACAATTAAAATCAATTTTATTTTGCTCCATGGAAAGCATGAAGGAAGTGGAGAAGAAAAGATAAGGGTTGGAGAAGAAGGAAAATCCCAATTTCAACATTTGACGCTTTTTTTTAAACCAAAAAACCAGAACATTTAGAAAAGCCCTGAATTTGAAATGCAAAAGTAAGAATATTTATAAATAAGATCTACACTGAATCACGGATCTGCTTATGCACAGCTCTTCTTGGGAACTAGGAACTCTAGACGTGTTGCTTTGTCTGCATAGGCGAGGGGTAGGATCCCCATCATTGAGGACTTTCAGAACAAGACTGGGCAAAACACTAGTAAATGTGCAATGGATACAGTCCTGCGGATAGAATAATAACCTAAGACAATCTAGGCCATGACACTTTGAAGAGTGCTGATGCATTAAAACCTGGTGGTCTCCGGATTTATGAGGATATAAAGTATCCACCTGTAACCTTTAACCGCATCCTTTCGTTCTAGACATGTCTGCCATTAGCTGAACTAGTTCAGCCCAGTTTTGAGGACCAAATCTACCTCGCTCTACTCACTCACATCATCTGTCTCGCTGAACTCTGCGAGTAGGATCTGGCCTTACCTAGAATACAGAGATTTTCCTTCTTCCTTTCCCCATCTCCCTTTTTCTTCTTTCCCTTTGTGTTCTGTGACAGCTTGCCTTTATCTCTGCCTTTGAACATAGGGCCTAGACACATTTTTGCTAGTTGAGCTGGGTTTTGCATCATGGATCTGAGAGTGCATTGCACAATTGTACACTTAACTCCCTGTTTGTTGACAAGAAACTCCTCTCACCTGGATGTCCGGCCTTGGCTACCCTGAGGCATAGGAGCTGTGCCAGCTCTACAGTCATCAGATTCTGCCTCCTGGATATGGAAAGTCCAATTGGAGTGGCTAAAAATAAATTTGCAGGTGCTTTTATTGAAATCTATTTCATGCTGAGATTCTGGTGTACCTACTTATGTGGAGCAGCACCCTACTTCGATGCCAGGTCCTTCTGATTCCAATGCAAATATCTGGGGAGATAACATGCAGTTCTCGGCAACAAAAGAGGCTACGAGTATGAAAGTACAATGCACAATGCAGATAGTGGATTAATTAGGCCAAATTCTCCATTCAGCTACAGCAGGGCACCTCACTGAAGTCAGTTCGGCTACTCCAGCATAATTGAGTAGAGGATCTGTCCCATTTGCTGCAGCAGTTTAACTGAAAGGGTAACTATTTCATTCCATATGTAGGAAATTAGTAATAATGGGAGCTGCATACCTAATTCCCCATGTGCTGGTTGGAAAATGTTTTACACAAACCTGTCTTTGAAGTACTGAACAGGCAAATGACTTTGCTTATTAGCATTTCTTTCATGTACTCTTTCATATGAAAAATAATGATTCAAGCCAAGACTTTCTGGTAATTATCTCTTGGTTTTTCTCCCAGTGGTCTGCCAGCATCTTTGTGCTATGCTCTCTGTTTTTGCAATACATTTTGTGCTGCTCTTGTTCTTCCTTTTGTTTGAGGTCCTGATGATGCTGGAAGAAAAATCCTCAGGCCCTGAGGCAAGGAAATGAGTTCCTCAAGTGCTTTTACAATGCTCCAGTGTAGTCAGCGCTGAGGAGGAAAAGCTTATTTAATCCACATCAGCTCAACTACAGCTATTGTGTTGTAGCTTAATGTTTGCACCAGTTTTAGGAATATTTCCTATACCTAAATTGGTTAGAATTTGTGAAACACATTTTTCATAGATTTCATAGCTGTTAGGGCCAGAAGATCATCGAGTCCAGCCCCCTGTCCCAGGGGCAGGAAATCAGCTGGGGTCAAAGGATCCCAGCAAGATTTTCTTTGTGCGGATAGTAAAGAGAGAGTTGGGGTGCAAAACGAGAGGTTCTTTCTTTATGGTTGTGAACACTAGTACTGTGATTAATGGGGTTCCTACTCAGAGCTGGGTCTCCTGCTTTAATGTCCTGTGGGCCGGATCCAATGCCTGTCAAGTCAACAGAAGGATTGTATTGGCTTGATTTCAGTGGATGAGGCCCTCGGGGGGACCTCTTGGTGCTTCACAGTTTGCATCCGTAACATGCAGATGAGAACTGCCTTCCTTTGGAAGCTCTTTGAGGTTTAAGGTGGGAACGTTGTATGTGAGTATCAAATCTTGTTATGGGCAGTATGTTGGGGGCACAGCCCCTTCCTCGGAGCATCCAAGATCCTGCTCTGAAAGTAAATGTTTGGCAATCAAAATAATTTGGCTGCTCTTTTCTGGTCTCATTGACCCCTGAAATATCTGGAGAGGAAAAAAAGAATGAGAGCAAATTTAGCTCCTGGTTTTCTAATTTACCATTTAATTCTGGGAAACACTAGGGAAATAGGGGCAGCTACTTTTTGAAGCCCATCTTAGAGACCCAGTCTGTGTTCTGCTAGGCACCACATAACTACTATGGTGCTCAATGTTTTGGCTCTGTAGGCTAGAAGAATTGCACAGGGTTGGTCCATGAGCTGGATTGGATCTCGTGCCCCCAGATTAGTCGCATATGGGTTCAGCTTGTCCCCACACCAGGCTCTGGGGCCCCGCAGAACCTCCTCCCAGCCCCACACACCAGGATCAGGCCTCGTGCCACCCTGCATGCCCTACCAGGGGCCAGATCTGACCCAGAGGCCCAGTGGTTGAGCATCTCTGGTCTAATCTGTTCAAGGCTCTTCCAACTGGCAATCAATAGAAAGCCTAGGCATGAATTAAAATGAAAGTAAAAATATAATGGGAGTACTTGAGTCATTGTTACTAAGGATATGATAGAAATCCCTCCTCTCTGCAGCTTCTTGACATGTGTGTGCAGAACTGTGGCCCAAGCTTTCAGTCTTTGGTTGTGAAGAAAGACTTCTGCAAAGAGAGGCTTGTGAAGCTGCTGAATCCAAGATATGCTCTGCCAGCTGATACACAGGACAAAATCTTGACCTTTATCATGGTAAGCGTACTATACATAATGCTATACACACATAGTAAATGTTTAATGACACAACCCAGTGCTGCACTATGAAGCGGTTTATGGGGGGGTTATCTTGTTAAGATGCCCTTTGTCTTTATTCCTTTTGTGCTTATATAAGCAGCAAGATGCAGGAAACAAAGGGAAATGACTAGGAAGGAGTTGTGGAAAGTTGTCAACCTGCCCCAGGACATGCCTCCCTGACGGCAGTCCTCCTTTTCAGGACTGAAGGAGAAAAGTGAGCAGGAGCTTTGAAGCTTTCTCTTCCTTCTTGTTTCTGCTGCTTTCAGTGCAGCTAAAGCAGGGGTGGGCAAAATGCGGCCCAGGAGCCAGATGCAGCCCGCCAGGCCATTCTATCTGGCTCATGGGACCCCTAAAAATTTAGAAAATTAATATTACTTGGCCGTGGGATGCCTGTCATGCAGCCCTTGATGGCTTGCTGAAACTCAGTAAGCGGCCCTCTGCCCAAAATAATTGCCCACCCCGAGCTAAAGGGTCAGGTAGCTCATGCAGAAAGGGAATTGCCACCCTAGAGGAGACCTGCAAGAGCACATGGAGCAGAAGCACCTCTCTACGAAGAGGTTCTCCAATCCTTAGACAACATCTTCCATTTTTCTTGGCACAGAAGTAATCTTGTATTTCTCAATAATTCATGTTTAGAGAACAGCAAATCCTGCATGCAGTCAGGGGGTTGAACTAAAGTAGGTTCACCCTTCAGGTCTTCTCCATCCCTCTGTGTGGAGAGAGAGAGAAGAATTGACTTAGGGGAAGGATATTCAAACACAGCCTTAATTCAGTGAAGAATTCTGTTTTTTGTAACATACATTTTTTTTTTTTTTTACCCCAAACAGACTTGGGCGCGTGGGTTTCAAGGAACCGTGGATGTGAGCGAAGTAAAGGAAGTTTACCTGGAACTACTGAAGAAAGGAGTGCAGTTTCCGCGTCCTGACACCAACACAGAGACAAAAAAGGTAGGTGTGTGTTAGTAACTACTAATCAGAAACCAGATCTACTAATTGTCAGATCTCTGTGATTGAAGAAGGTGTGTTGATTTTTTTATTTTTTTTTAGGATTTGGAGCTAATTATTTGGCTTGCACACTCAGGAAGTCAGTCACCTGTTCTGCCCTGGAGCATATTTAAGAAAAACAACCAGCTTAAAAACAACTGCTTTCATTTTAAAAATGACAACTTCCTTGTTGCCTCCTAAAACAAACATAAATCCCTGCAACTTTTAAACCTGGTAAAGTTTTGGGCACTTGGTTTCCATTGCTATTAATGTAAGTGGGGTGTCCAAATCCCTTACGTCTCTGAAACTCTCAGCCAAAATAAGAAAAATTTGCATTAAAATGGTGGATGATTCAAGATGTGAACCTTACCTGTGCAGAATGAGATAAGGAGACGTAGGGATATTTAATTAAAGAACTTCCCTATATATCACTCTACCCATTGGTCTGTAATTTGCAACCTCATGGATAAAGCGTCTGTCTTTACTATTTAAGCAGCTGCTACAGTGCTGTAGCTAAGCAGTTGGTGCAAACGTAGCTTGAGCAGTCCCCACCAGCTGTCTGTGCAGGAAGCTGTTCAAATTAGGGTCTTCTGGCATTTGTTTTCCATCGGTTGGAGCAGCTTTTGTAAGACTTGTGAGAGGAGCGAACCTGTCAGGTGGATCCTTGCTATTATGGAATTAGAGTTCTCTAATAAGCCCAGATAAAAGTGATTTGAAATGATTCACAAATTGGCTTTGTGACTTGTATGGTAGTGTATAAGAAAGCCAGTGTATTAAAGTTAAGCCTATTTAAACTAGTCTGTTTGCTGGATGTGACTAGACAATCATTTCCTCCCCGCCACATGCTGTGGATATGAATCTCCCCCTCCCTCCTGAGACTAGGACTGTTGTTGAGGACTGGCCCACTCATCCTTGCACCACATGTACCACTGCCGAGCAGGTAGGCTGCATGGATTGCACAGTGCAGCCTTGGCATGCACCACAGTTCCGCTTTCAGGCTCTCTGTCCAGTTGCTGGGCTGAACATGTATAGAATAGAGATAATGTTTTGATGGTGGTCCTGTGCTTGGCAGGAGGGCAATAAAGATGTTGTCTTAATGCTTAGTCCTGTGCCCAATGGAATATGTGTCAAAGTGCCTATTGATTTCAGTAGTGCAGAATCATTATACAGTGTATGCAGTTGGGCTCAGCACATCTGGAAGAGGAAAGGGCTGAAGCACAGTTCCTTGTGCAGGCCTTCTGTGCTGCAGTGAACTTCACCTGGAGGGAAAACAAGGCTTCTGGCTGCCAGTGGTCTCTAGCTTTTTGATGCTTTCCTCTTTCCATTCATCTTCCAGTCAGAGACTCCTGCCTCTCTCTCTCTCTCTTTTCCTAATGTGATTCCATTATCAGCCATACTCTGGTCCCACAGCAAGGTTGTTCTTCCTCCAGAACTGCCACCTCCCCAGAGAAAATCGGAGGACTCTCATCACCAGACACGGGCTAAGAGCTATACATTGTACCATGGAGACATTACCTCTAGTTGCCCATTCAGAAACAAAACTGCACCCCCAGCCTGATTTTTTTACTACAAAAATAACTGGATTTACTTTAGTAAATGGAACATGTTCAGCAAACTCCCTCTACAGGTTCCTCCCTGATTAAGAGGAGGCTGATACCTGTTGTATAGTCTGATAAAGTTGCTGTGGAGCACTGCCATCTGGATGTCATTTTGAATTCTCAGATTAAATGGAAACTGCTTGTCTTGTGTCTTGGCAGGCTTTGTCTCAGTCCGTCACTAAGTCTTCACCACTTTCTTCTGCCTCAGTGAAATGTTCCCTAATGCCTCTTTCCACTGCCTCAACTATACAGCTGACTCCTGAACAGGTATGGAACAGCCTTTTACATGTGAAACAAGGTGGTTGTGTGTTGAGGATTGTGACCGCCCAGCTTGAATAGGCAGTCTCCTTTTGTTTGAGTGGTAGAGTCTTGTGCTGAGCATCCTCCATTCGAACACTGCTGAATCACTGTAGTGTTTGTAAGAAAAGCTTTCTACAATCATGTGCCAGGAAGGGGAATTGAACAAACACCGGGAACTGCTTGATTGGAAAGCAATCTCATACCTTTGCTTATGTCTAAAGCCCTTTTTAAGGGCACTGTTGTGCAAATCGATGTGAAGAAGCTTCTAAGAAAAGAAAACTTTTTTGTACAACAGCTGTGTAAAACTGTAAAAGGCAGAAAGAAAGGAACACACCATATACCTTCTCGCCTTTTGGATAAATGAAAATATTCAGTCTGCTTAATAGTAATAGGACTAAATAGTAAGAATGACAGTAGTGTAACACTACACAGAGTGCAGGCTGGAGAGCCCCTGCTTTAGGGTGGGGTAAAACTGAACTAGTCCTATTGACTTCCACTGAGTATTTAAAACTGGAGTAAACCAATGCTGATCAGGCTGGCAGTGTGTCTGATAATGAAAGAGAAAACATGCTTTAGATATGAAAAAGATTGTGGCTGCTGTACTTACCTGTATGCCATTCTGTCCCATTGTCCTGAACAGATTGGGAAGCTGAACAGCGAACTGGATATGACCAAAATGAATGTAAAAGTCATGTCATCGATATTAAAGGAAAATGTTCCTGGTTCAGAAAATCCTGAAGATATGAACCTTTTACAGGTGCAGTATAACATGTTGCTGGGGTTTTCTTAATGGCTTCTGTAAGGTTTATTCTAAAAATGTACATTGTGCCCAGTCACATAACATCAAGGTTCACATGGTAAAATGAAAACAGCCCAGCTGCTTTGGTGGTAATTTCATTTTCTTTTGCCATTATTATCTCCACCTGCCATGGAAGGCAGCAAACAGCATATGTATCTTCCCATGCAAGCTGTAGGGGGAAGGCAAGGCAGAGTGAACCCCAGGGTGGAAGGCCCTCTGGCTCTGCCATGGGTCTCTTCAGAGTGCATGAGGTTTCCAGCTGACTGCAGCTATCCCAGCTGGAAATAAATGGTGCTAAGGTCTCTCTCTCTCTCTCTCTCTCTCTCTCTCTCTCTCCCCCTGTTTCTCATCACTGTCTCAGGGCTGTCAGGGCTTTTTGCATCAATCCCACCATCTTGAATGTAGACTGTGCGCCAGAATAGGGAGGTCTGGTTTTCATTGTTCAGATTAAAAGACAGGCAGCTGTTATTCATTAGCAGAGGTTACACTTCAGGAGTAAATGGATAGTAAGATGCTAACTGAATCCAGCTGGGGATAAAGGAGTCAGTCTCTCCAGTTTCTTTTTTTTTTCCAATATCATTTTTTTACTTGTGTGTTTTAACTTGCCTACATTAAAAGCAAAATCCTCATGTTTCAGCCTTATGAGTGATCTGTGCCATATGGCAACTTTGGATTCAGGCACATGTTGTAGTGTATAAGGACCAGGTACAGCTGGTTCTTACATGAAATTTATCTCCATATACCAGGGTGAGGGAACTTTCTGCATCTTTTGCTTTGGCAAGCTGGTTGTCCTGGTGAATTCAGTAGACCTGCCTTAAGTCATTTGGCCAGTGGAGAATTGTCCCTGTGTGGGGAAATCCTGGTATATTTGCTATGTTCACCTTTAGTATGAGATTCCTGCCTAGGGATTAGGACTAGCTGGGGTGATCATAATCTGCACCTGATCCCACTGGGAGCCAGTCCCAGAACTGAGGAAGAGCCAAGTGGCTTGAAGCCACCAGTTTCCAGGATCTGGCTCTAAATGTATTTACAAGCATAGGAAGAAAGCCCAGTTGGAAAGTAAAACTGCTAACCACTAGGCCTGTGCGAAGCGGCTAGTATTCGCTTTGGATTTGGATTTGGCCAATTCAGGGGACAGTGATTCAGTTCGGTGATTAGAATAGCTGCCGAATCGATTCGGCTGAATCTGATTCAGAGATTCAGCCACTGTCGAATCAGCCTAACCTGAATTGGACAGGCCCCATCCCCTGCCCATTCTCCTAGACCCATCAATGGTGCCCTGCCTGGGCCCAGCTCCCGGCTCTTTAAAAAAACAACACAAAAAAACCGCGGCTTCACCAGCTGCTGCCAGGCCAAGGGCTGATCCCCGCTGCCCTCCACTGCCTCGCGCGGCATGGCAGGCTCTGTCACAAGCCCCCAGACCCTGCCTACTCTCCCAGCCCCAGCTCCTGGCTCTTTTAAAAAAAAATAAAATAAAAAGCCCCGGGTTCACCAACTGCTGCCAGGCCAGGGGGTGGTGATCCCCACTGCCCCGCACTGTATGGACGGCTCTGCCATGAGCCCCAAGAAGCCCCGACAGCTGGGAGAGCTAGCAGGGAATGGGGTCTGGCAGGGGTCCCCCCCATTGTCTCCTCCTCCAGCCCCCACCTCCCCTGCCCCCTACTTACCAGCACAGAGTCTGGGTCCCTGTGGCAGCGAGTGGGGACTGCCCAAATCTCCCAAGCTCTCCGAATCTTTTCCGAATTGATTTGGACCTTTTTATTGGTCTGCTGATTCGATTTGGAGATTCTGCTGCCAAATCGGGCCGAACCTCCTCTGAATCAGATCAGCACCCGAAGCTTCGCACAGCCCTACTGACTGCACAATTTCATTGCAGCACAGTGTGGTTCTCCACCTGCTAATTACTGCATGTTTTTAAAATGTTGCATGCCCTTCCACTGTAATCCTCTTGAGCTGCTATGTCCAAGCAGTTAAATAGTGCGATTATTAAGAACTCTGCAATCAAACATTGACTCAGTCTATCCCCAGCATAATGGTATGGATTTTTAAGGTTCATCTTAAAGAGAGGCTATTATAAAGCAATCCCATAAATAAGAGGCATTTTATAAAAGCTATCTGCATAAACATTTACTGTGCAAAACTGGCTCGCTGGCTTCTCAGGCATAGTTTAACAATTCTCTGCATGTCTGTTTAGAGGGATGCTGGTGCATAATGATTGGGTGCTACAATTATTCTGCCTCCAAAGCAGCAGCAATAATCTATGCAATAAATAAGTCTCATTTCCTTTCTACTCTCATATCACTCAAGATATATATATTTTTTCGTCCCGGCTAACATAGAAAACAAAATGTGTCTATATTAAAATAACCAAGGGTTTGGCTCAGCTTGAGGAGCCACAAGAACAACAAATAATGATGTAATTTAAGGCACAAAAAATACAAAGATTTATTGTTACAAGTTAAGTTTCCTTCAGTCTTATCCTGCGTTTTGTGTGAGAGCAGCAGTCTAGACCTGGGCAGTGAATTATAGTACTGGAGTTTTCTCCAGAGAGGAGTATAGGGGTAACAGCGGGGGAATGAGTCAGCTCTTCTTGATTTTCTTCCTGGGTCTGCTATCAAGTCATCTGTGACCATGAATGTCGACCTCTGCCTTTAACTCATTTATCCAGCTGTAGAATGGGTATAATGATGCTTATCAGCTAGACACAGCTAGCTGATGCATGTTACTGCAGTGGTGCAAAGGAGCCCTACTGCTGGCTTTAATACTTGGCTGGCATAGAACATATCCAGCTACCTCCTAGCCACTGGTGGTGGTAGGTGTTTCGGAGGGAAATGAAGATAGGAACAGCATATCCTTATGCCTTGTCTTTTGCTGGTAGCTAGAATGGGCATGCATTAGGCTGCCCAGCAGAAATAAGACGGCTTATAGTCACTTGTTCAAAGGAACCTCTGTCTGCATCTGTGCTAAGTCCAGTTTCGAGGTCACCTATTACTAGAGCCAGTTGAGAATTTTTTGACAAAATAGTTTGTCATCAGAAAATTTTGATTTGCCACATCTGGGGCTTTTTGTGGGGATGTGTAACTGCTCAGGAAAGGTTTTTCAGCTCTAGGATGAAATCTGTGTCCAAAGTGTATGTGTGTAAGAAGAGAAAGAGAATAACCTAGCAGTTAGGGCATTTGCATGGGTTGTGGGTGCAGTTCCTGCTCCAATATATATTTATTTATACCAAGTCAAGCAGTTAAAAGATTGTGGAGGGAAAAGGAGAGAGAACACCCCAGTGCCTTGAGATGTGGAGAGTGGTAGAGCAGAGACCTAATCCTGAGTGTGTAAGCCTGGTGGTTACAGCATTCACTTGGGATATTAGTTACTCTCTGTCAGCAACAAAACCCCCAAAAAACTTCAAAGATTTTGGCTTTGTCTTGATACAGGACAGGAACATTTTTGAAGGATGGGAACAAAACGTCCTGTCTAGTTCTGTGCATAGTAGGGGCCAGTACCATGCACTTAAGTTAGTGCTTTGAAAACCAGGGCAAGAGTTATACGATCTGCCATTTCTGGACAGAGTTTCTTGTATAAAAAGCAAAGTAATTCTTCCTGCCATCAGGAAGACTATAGAAGTGTAAGCAGACCTAACAGCTTATACTCCAAGAGTGAAATGATTGTTAATGTGGTGGAGGGTAGGGAATGAATTTCACAGTTTGTGCAAAAGTGTAAAAGGGACAAAGTTTTATTCCTGAGTTTAACCATGGTATTTTGTCTTCCTTCCTGAAGACCCTTTTCCAAGTACCAAGTATCTAGCATAACAAATGCATGTTGGTTTTTACAAGCTCAGCCTCGTCTTTTGATTGTGTCTCCACCCAGGTCACTTGGATCAAAGGATTATATCCTTCTACGATATTTGTTCAGTTTTCATTTCACAGCGTTCTTTGTGAAAGAGCGGCTTGCTTTAGGCTTAAGTGGACTAGAGAGGGGTGTTTTGTTTGTTTAGCCTTGCATCACCCAAGATCTAGGACATTCCCCTAGTAAAAGGGAAAACTGCATCAGGACAAGTTGTGATCCACATGGAGACAAGGGCTTTGAATTCGCAGTTATCTCAGTGGCTAAAAAGCCCCTTGTGGACTGTGTTCTAAAACACATGGGAACAGTAACCCCCCAAAATATTACATTGGCAGAAAAAAATTAAGTGCTTTGCCAGCCGGTAAAACTAGGGAACAAACTTGCTTTCTTGGGCCGTGTGTAGACGAAACGAGAAGCGTGTGTGCACAGCACTTTAAAGCAGGCTAAATGCTTTTGCACTGCTTTAATGGTGTTGGTGTTTGCACGCTTCAGTGGTGTATTGCGCATGAATTCTAGCTGCTGTAAGAAATTCGGTGGCATAATGCACCTTAAATGACTTGGACTCCTTCAAGGAGTTTTAGTTTGCTCCCCCTACAGCTGCAGAGCCAAGCACTGGGCTCTGAGCAGCTCCACGGCCCTGCAGGCAGCCTGGCAGCAGCCCAGGAAAGCAGCTCCACCCAAGAAGAGCAGCAAGCCTGATCTCCCCCCGAGCCTGCCTGCCTGATTTGCGGGGGAGCCTGGTGCTTCCATCTGCAGCTGTGGTGCCCCCCCCAGGACGGCCCGAGCCAGGTGCCTGCATGCAGGTGCTGCCTGGGAGGGGCAAAGGGGTGCAGCTGCCACAGACGGAAGCACCAGCCCCCACACAGCCCAGGGACCGCTCCGGCCGCCAGCAGTTCACCCTCCCCTCCCCGCTGGAGAGGCAGGTAACTCAGCAGGGTGTATGCACGATGCAGGGGTTTAATCAGCCCTAAATTAAAGCGGTGTTTTGTAGGGCCCCTGTTTTGTCTCCACACGCCCTTGGATACTGAGTAAAACCCATCCTAGGAACTGTGGCACCAACTCCTCTGCTAATATAACCTGGCATATTTTCTTCAAAGTCACTGACCTTTTCTGTCCCTGCCAGTGATCTGGCCCTGGGGAATGTAAACTCAGCTGTGGTATACCAAGTATCCCAAGTGCTTGCATCTTTCCTGAGCAGGGCCAGAAGTAAAGCTTAGGAAATATGTGATTGGGATTAGAAATAATTAGGGCTGTGACTGAACTCCTGTACCATCCCATGCATGACTCTCTATGTTGAAAGAGGATCATGAAAAAGGAGCCAGTCTGCTGGCAAGATGGGTTTACCTGGAATATGTATTTTTACTGAGTGTTAAATGCCAAGGGTGTGAAATTGAAATACTTTCAGATTGAATTACAAACTTGAAGAATGTACTCGGGTTTACTGAGAATAAAATTCAACCCTGGACTCGGAACAGCCGTGAGGCCTTTATGCTTTTGGGACTTAACTAGGAGCTACAGTGTTGCCTCATCCTTTTGCAGGACTCTGAACAGGGTTTGGTTTCGTCTTGGGAAAGTGACTTGGGTATGTATAGTTTGGGAGCAAAAATGGGGCTGCTTTAAAATAAAACCAGTCAATTTAGAATAAGAAATGTCAAAATAGTTCCCTTTCCTTTTTTTAAAGTCTAGATCTAACTGGTAGCAGGGCAAAATTTCATTCAGTGACACTGTGAACTTCATTCTGATTGCTTGATATGTAGGTTTGCATTACCTAAGGTTGTATTCAAGAGATACATGGATCAAGTCTCTGGATCAGACACCTCCATTTGGAGGGAATATTGGAGCTAGGTCTGGGTTTGTATCACGAGTCTGTCTGTACTCTAGATTATTTATTTCACGCTTCGAAATACATGAGTCTGATCCAAGATCACATCCAATGAAGCTGATAAAAATAATTGTGTTGATTTGTAATGGACTTTGAGTGAAGACCAGTATGAATTCACACCTCGCCCAAACAAAAATAACAATTTGCTCTTCTGAAAACATTTACTCCCTGGCTTTCTAAGGCAGACAAAGTTACCAAAAAAGCAAGACTGGGTCATCACTGAGGAGCTTGATTGATTGTGGCAGTGGGAGTCATCAGCCCCAGTGTGCAGGAAGATTGCCAGAAGAATCCTTGAGGATTAAAGAATGGGATATAGAGATTTTGTCATTAGTGTTCTTTAGCATGTACATAGTTATTTGAATTAGACAGCGCACTATCGATGCCTCCCTAGCGTTCACAAGCTGTTAATTATCCTCCAGAATTGTGTGGGAAACCATAATTATGACATCCCGCTTCTATATGCAGAAACTATACAAAACATGTCGGATGATGCAGGAGAGGATCATGGAGCTGCTGGCAATAGTTCAGAATGAAGATGTGATAATCGAATTAATTCACGTGAACGAAGACCTGAATAATGTCCTCCTGGGACATGAAAGGTAAGTGTCTTGAACACTTGCACATTTGGCCTTCACACTGCACCAACCAAGTCTGTTCAAGAAAACTTAACTCTTGAGGCTGATATTCTTTAGAGTGAAATCCCTCATTCGGCAAGAGGGCTAGCCTGAGGCATGTGAAGCATTTAAGTCCCACTCAAGCCTTAAAAGATTTAACTTAAAGGATATGATTAGTGCTGGCCCTTAACATAGAAATGAATTTATCCTTAGTCCCAAAGAAAAGAGGAGCACATTCCTCTTTGTTTTGTGATCATGTTTCATTATTCCTCTTGATACCTCACAAGCTGGGCACAGGAGATTGACACAGTTTGTGGAAGGCCTCTAGAAGACCTGTGTAGTGGTTAAATCAAATTACTTAGTGTAGATGGGAATAAAAAACTACATGGAAAGAAATGGTCATGGAGTTTGACATTTCCTTCTCTTTGAGCACCACTGGATTTGGCTCCAGTCCATTCCAAGTTCCAGTTGTTCCTGATCACAGTCTGGTTCAGTTTATCACATCCAGAGTACACGCATTCCCACAGAAGGGCATGTTTTCTCTCCCTCCTGAACAATCTTGCTGGACCGCTTTACTGTAGACGTCAGCCAAAGGGTAGAGTTCCTGCTTCCTAGTTACCTTAAAAGGATCACATGATCCTTTTACAGAACTGAAACCAGTTATTCTACCTAAGCTGCAGGAGAAATATTTGTTTCACTTATGAAATGCAGGCTATTTTGACCGCAGCATTTGGTTTCCTTATTATGCCATCTGTGGAGTAACCCAAGTTTTAGTTCACCTTTAATTAGAGGTGCACTGATAAAGATTTTCTTGGCGTATATCGATTGCCAATTATTAACCAGCCTTATTGGACAATACCAGTCAGAAAACTGATTTACAGGAGAGCAGCTCTCTGCAGGTGGGCATGGGGGCAGACAGATTGGCGAGAGAAAGAGTGGGGTAGGGGCTGGGGGCGCTGCCCAGCCAGGGCAGTGAGTGGGGTTCAGGGCTGGGGTGGGGAGTGGGATGGAGCTGCAGCTGGCTCGTCCAGGGGATATGGAGGGAGGGGGGGGTCAGCTCCCCACCACTGTGTGCACCCCCCAGGGGAAGCTTGGGGGGGGCATGTGCCCCCCCCCCCCCAGATTTGTCTGCAGGGCAGATATGGGCTGCTGGCTGTGGATTTGGGGTTCTCCGCTCTGCTGCCTTTCCTTCAGGGGCTGTGTGCGTCTCCTGCCCACCCCATAGCAGTGGGGTGGCGAGTTGTGCCTCTCTCTACTGGTCAGGCAGGGGGTGCATGGCCAGCATTGGGTCCCCAAGGGAAAGGCAGCAGAACAGATAGCCCCAAGCCCACAGTGAGTAGCCCACATTTGCCCTCGCCCCACTCAGCTGGGCGGTTAAAAGCATCCCTGTGTTTACAAATGGTGGCGGCAGCACTTGAACTAAAGCTCATTCAACGAGCTTTAGTTCAAGTACCCCTGCCGCCATTTTAAGCACTGGGCCACTGATCCCCTGGATGAGCCACCCATAGCTCTGTCCCGCTCCTCCAAGCCCCTGCCCCTCCACAGACTTACCTGCAGGGTGCTGCTCTCCACTGCCCGGCTACATTCCTGGCCACGTGCATGCGTGCGGCTGCGTACATGCATGCAGCATCTGGGCCTCAGCCAGAAGGCACATTATATTTATCAGTGAACGTTATCTACTACACTGGCCAAAAAAAGCCAATAGCCAATAATGTTAATTTTCCTTTTATCGGTGCTGATCCGATATGCAACCCATATATTGTTGCACCTCCTACCTTTAGTATAAATGCAGCTTGCCTCAAATTAATAGAAATTACCAGATATTAGTTTAGGTATAATACGATTAACCTTATGTATGAGAAGACCCTTGCCTAAGTACTCCAACCTACCTTGCTTCTTAGCGTGTGTTGCAGTTATATGTCACTAGGCTTTTGTTTTGTTTCCTTTTTCCCACTGAGTGAATTTCTGGTACGAGACCAATTTTTGTGGAAATTCTGAAGTAAAGAGTCACATGAAGTGGAGAGGCTCTTAGACGCTGCGGGAGTTGTGAAACTGTGCAGGTGCCTTGACTCTGTGACTTGGTTGTGGGTCTGGGGAAAAACAAATGAAATGTCTTCTCTGGAAAACCTCACTGTCTGCACAGTGATGTATCAGTCGTAGCATGGATGAAATCACAGGAGGCAGCATGAGTAGTAAGATAAATCTATTGGTGAAATAAGGAGAAGGCCTCTATTTAAGCCAATTTACAGCTTATGGTTTGGGAGTCTCTTTAAAGTGCCATCAATCTTTTAGGTTCTGTTTTGTACAGAGCCTAATGCAACTGGATTTGTTATCCAGGCCTTGAGGTGCTATGATAGGAGAAGTAAAATATCACACATGCATACACTCAGAATAATCACAAAAGTTAATAGAGATTGTGACACTATTTAAATTAAAGCTTTGAATTTTTTTAATTTGTAGTCATTGCTATCCTTGACAGTATTCAGAGGGAAGCCAAAGTGTTTTTCAAATTTTATTTCCATATGGTGTTTTTCAGTGGAGGATCTCAAAGTGCTCTACCGAGAGGGGGGTTAAGAAATGTCACTGACTTCAGTGACAGCAGGATTGGACGTTAATACAGGAAAAGAAGAAGATGCCCTATCCAATTATACAGGGGAACATTTCACTCAGTGGAATATAATTGATCATATTGGGCTTTGGCCACAGCACTGGGGTTAAGACTTCTGCTGTTGCAAGGACTTGGGTGGGATCTGTAATTGTCAGGAGGAGTCAGTACAATGGCTTTGCAGCATCGTCTATAACAGAAAACTTTAAACCTGTCATTCCCCATGGACTCAGCTCCATCATTGGTAGCACAAGTGAAAGCTGCAGCGAAGAAAAGGCAAAGAGAGAGAGGCTCAGGTGTTTTTAGCACCATGTAATTTAACTGAAGCCCAGAATACTCTGTTCCTGGTTTAATGCATCTGCCACTCAGGAACAGCTCTGCAGAACCACTTCTAAGGCCCAGGCAGGCTCAACTTTGCTTCAATATAAATGTCCTGGCTTGGGAAAAGATGGTAATTTCTCCACGTAGAAGTCACAGCTTCTCTTCAAGTCCAGCCTGAGATGTCTCAACTGAAATCAGTGCTCGGTGCATGACAATGTATCCTCAACCGTGGTTTTGTTTTTTTTTCTTTGGGACCTAATCTATGAGGTATTTGCTATGAACAGAAAACTGCAACTTTCTGAAATCAGGAAGGCTGCATTAGTTTCGCCCTAATAGGTTTTCTGAAGAAAGTAGTTGGAGCTGAATGCTGATTACATTAGTACATCATAGTTACTTTGGTATATAAATAGGGAGAATGGTTACACCAGAAGCAACAATTTAGGGATAACAATGCAAGTCCTGTGCCTCCTTCTCCATCACAAGATAACCCAGTCCTTCAGAAGACATTATCATATATGTGTCTGTTTTATAACTCCTGTTTATCTTGTTCGCACGTGCCTTATCTCTGTCTCCCAGATGCTGTAATGGATGAAACTAGTGGGTGTGCAGCAACCAAGAACAGTCTTGACTATTTTCCTTTTTTCCCTTTTCAACCTTTCGCAAATACAGCAGTCAGATTGCTGTAGACCCTCAATTTAAGAATAATTAAATATTTTGAAGAAAAACCTAGAAGTTTTGCTAGCAATAGTTGGAATAAATAATGGCAATGTGTCATGTTTTACAGTAGTCATCTATTTAAAGAGGATTTGTTTTTCCACTTCTTGCCTTAGGAGGATTTGTGTGTTGGCAAAACAGAAATGAATTTCTCTTTGATTTCTATAAATCCACTTTATCCAAATGTAGACCTAGAATCTTATTAGTCCTGATGATTGAGGTTTTTCTTGGGAAGCTGAGGTATGAACACTGACTTGTGGGTATAACTCAACAGATCCTGTGGGAAATAGGCCCTCCTATTGATAGAAAGAACAAATAATTGCAAATGGTAATGGAAAATTGGTCATTTTTAAAAACATATTTTGTTCAGTGATACTGGGCACATGTACACGAGACACTATGGCACCGTGGAGATGAGCTATGGCAACATAGCCCATTGCTACAGCCGTGTAGCATCTAAAAATAACCATGCGCCGCCGGGATTGTGCAGTACCGGTGGGTCAGGGGCTTGTGTAGATGCACCCACTGTGTATTTAATGAGCTGCCTTGGCTGCAGTTGCATTATACTTCATAGCAGTTTTGTAATAATGTAGACATCTTTGCTATTAGGCAAGTATTTGGTTTACCACGGTAAAATCTCAGTACATTGCTGAATAACTTGATGTCTGAAAGACTGTAATTTTATAGTTGTGATTAACTAGCTGGAGCTGTTTCATTATCACTCAAATGGATGCATGATTTTAAGGCAAGTCACACTACATTCTCTGTATCTGATTATTACTTGGGACTGTACAGAGTCCAGTGAATTTAAAAGCATTGGCTCAGTGCCTGTAACCATGACCCCCTCTAGTGGCTCCAGCAACTATGCATCTGTTGTTCAGTACAGTACAAATAAAGGTGTCCTTCCTCATGTCAACGACTTCTTACTGATGACTGGAGTTATAAATGTGCATGAGACTATGACACGTGATCTACATTGTCGATTTCCCTTTGTGGGATTGGGCTTTAGAAATTACAGCTGAATTCTTATGAATGACTTCCCATTTGAATGATGGTGCTGGAAATTTAAAGACCCAGCAGTTGACACTGAACTATTTCCAACAGGTTCTCTCGTAACCGAGTGCGCTTCTTGGAGAATCAAAGGATACAAAGAGAGCACACAGAGGTGAGTAATTGCAGACAAACTAAAAAAAATCAGAGTTGGAATCTGACCTAGATTTTATAAACATGAGATTTTCCTTTTTTTTTTTTTTTTTTGCGACAAATATGCTTTTGTGACACAAGGTATTAAATTTTCTAGTTGATGGATTTCAGTTCACTGTCTCTGGTAGGGATTATGTTCTATTAATTTTCAAAAGTCACACAAAAAGAAGGTCATACTGTAGCACAAGTATCAAATAACCCTTGAATTTAACACGGAAATGAGGAAAGGACAAGCAAAAAGAGAGGAACGCTATTCAACTGCAGTTTTATTGCTTCTGTACCCACGTATTAGATTGTGCTTTAATCTCTTGCATGATGCAAAAGACTGTTTCTTGTCTTCTACAGATTTGCCTTCATTTTAGCCCCATAAACATTTGTGGATCTGAAAAATGAATGATTATATGTTTGTTTTCCTCCATCGCTGCTCCTATTTATTAACCATGTTACTCAAAATAAGGATACGCAAGTCTCATCTGGTACAAAGCCACAGCACATTCTTGGTTATCTGAATCCCCCGCTATCCAAACAACAGCATCTTTTTTTAAAATTAACTGTGGCCCTTATGTAAAAACAAACAAACAAACAAACAAAAAAACAGCCCTTTTTAAAAATGTTATTTGCTACTGTGCTGCATTGCTATTCTTAACTTACCTTGTAACTATTACGCTTAGTTGAAGAAATTCAGCTAACTGAATGGCTTTTCAACAACCCTGGGGGTCTCTGGCTCCTACGCTGGGGGTCTTTAAGAGGAGGCTAGATGTACACCTTGCTGGGGTCGTTTGACCCCAGTACTCTTTCCTGCCATGGCAGGGGGTCGGACTAGATGATCTGTTCAGGTCCCTTCCGACCCTAGAAACCATGAAGTGCCTTCCAAAGGGGGTTGGAAAAACCGAGGATACTATAGAGTCACGCAGCCTCCTTTGAATACAGCATGAGGCTGGCTGTGTTATGGGGATTTGGATGTAGCCCATAATTATTAAAAGAAAGGTGAAGTTAATTTTGTTTTGTATGAGAAACTGCTACTGCTTCGGTTTCCTTTGTGGCCACTCGCATGTTTTTTGACTGCTGCTTACTTTGTTGGACTAGTTTATAATAATAAACCAAGTTGCCTCTTCTGTAGTCATTCACAAGTCCTTTAATTCAAAGTACATTTCTTCTATCTAGTTCTAAGAACTATATATAAAAAATGTGAGATTTGATTAAGTTCTCTTTTGGTTTCCTACTTAATTTCAGAAAGATGCATGCATTCCACAGAGCTGGAAACCAAACTGCTTTCCTAGCTGACAATTTTTGAGATTTTGCAAAGTTTTTTCCCATCCCCAGTTGAACCACACAAATCAAAGTTTGGATCAAATTAATCAATATACTTAGATTTCAACTTCTTAAAAATGCTTACTGTAAATTAACTGTAATTTTGAAATAAAAAGTCATTGCCACCCAAAAAATTGGAAAATTTGTTGCAAATATCTTGAGGCATCCTTTTTTGGAAGCCTTTTTTCCAAAATGTTTTGGAAATGGGAAATTTGTTGAAATGGATGTTTTTCTTGAAATAAGTTTTGGTTTCAGGGAATTGACATTCTCCAACCACAACATCAAAAGATGTTTGAAAAGAAAAAAAACCCCAACCATCTCATCTCTTCTTATTAATAGGGAGATTCTGATTTCAAAGGTTTCTAGTATATTTTCTTTCAAAACTAAAGGTTTTTAAACTCTCTCTTTTTAGCCATCTGCTCCTTCTTGTGATCTACTTGACCTTCATTCCGGTTCTGTGCTCCCTGTGTCAGCACTGATGCAAAATGGTGCTGTTACTTCTCAGTCTTCAGGATTGAGTGAGTGAAATATTTTATTTTCTCAAATAGGAAATCTACCATAAAGCAAGGTAGAAATCAAATCACATTGGGATCTTGTTTCATGGATGCAGGGCAAGATGCCTGGCTTAAGAAATGCAAAAATCTAGAACTCTTGGTTCAGAGCTGATACTTTTCATTAGACCAACTGAGCAACTGCAAAAAATATATATTTTTCTGCAAAATTTTAGGCTCTCACACCCTTCATCAGGCTCAGGGAAAGTTAAAGATGGGAAAAAAGTCCCCATATGTAGGAAATAAACTTCATTTTTGCACAGAGGAAGCTTAAGCTGAAAATCTGTCCCTTTGGGTTCTTGAGAGTGTCTTTGTGAGGTGCTCTGTTGTGCAGATCAAACAGGATTGCTTCCCTGGTGGTGTCAGGTGGCAAGCAGGGAGGTGTAGACATTTTTCTTGTTGTTCAGCAGTGAAGTTTATAATCCAAAACTGGCTGAAATTCGGCATCTTCTATGTTTCAGAGATCTATTTGGTAGCTGTGTTGGTCTGAGACAAAAAGAAATGCAAAAATCTAGAACTCTTGGTTCAGAGACGATACCCTTTTTTAGACCAACTTGAATTCCAGCATGTCAGAGCAGCCTCCACACTTGTGCATAGGTACCCTAAGGTTCTTGATAATGCACAAGGTGAAGCAGTTTATTTTTGCCATTCCCCTGTGCTGATATGATGGGTGGGCTTTCTCAGATGCATTTCAAATGCATGTGAGAGGGCACAAAATGTAGGTAGCGGTGGGAGGAACAGTGTGATGTAGAACACTGGCCCCTACAGGACACAGTACTACAAATGCATTCATCTGATGTTAAATGGGCTTGTACAAAAATAGAGCTTTGGCATATGTGTTAAAATAATGTGCTTCCCTCATTATTAGAAAGGGGACCTTGCACTGTTTAAAAGATAACTCCTTCTGTCTCCCATGCCCAGGAACATCCATATAACCATATGCCTTTAAAACTGTCTTCCTCGCATTGGTTATCTGTTCTTTAAGTTTACCAAGAGGAGGCTTACGTGCGTTTGTCAACATACTGCAGCTCCTAAGGTTTTTTCAAATGGCTCTGTCAGTTCAGCAACAATTTTGCTTAGATGAGGGAGAGAGAGAAATGTAATGCATTTGCTCTTACAGTCCCTGTTTTTTTCAACTAGAATAAGAAATAGTGTAGTCCTGTGGTTTAAAATATGTTTGCTACTATGCCTAGTGCCACTGATTTACTTGTTTTCTTCCCTTCTGGCATTTTAGTATGTCAGGCAGAAATACAGTAATCTGAATTCTACTCTGACTTGCTGTCTTAGCAGACTGTTTGAAGACCAGAATTTTTAGTGTGTATTTCAAACTTTACAGCTTCTCAGTGGCACCTTTACTCACCTCCTTGCCCCCACTCCACCCCACCCTCCCCACCCAAAGTAAAGTGCTCATAAAAGATGAAAGTGCAAACACTTAAGTATTGCTAAATAAACCCTGCAAGATTTTAATGCCAATCCAAATGTTAGATTGCAGGTCTGCAAGTGCTCCGGATCCGAACAACCCGCATCCTATGCTTTACCCTAAACTGGATTTAGGAACAGCAAATGCTCAACAGCTCTTGTAAGTAATATCTCAACAGGAAGCTACAGACAGCATCATGCTCTCAAAAATGTTTGCTCTTGGTCATTGCTCTGCTACATGCCTATGGCAGGCCCATGTACACTTGGAACTTCATGTTTTGTAAAGGTGTTCAGCTAAGCAGGGGCACCTACCTTTTGCTCTAGACCAGGGGTTTTCAGCCTTTTTAGATCATTGTACACCCAGTGGCCAGACACAGAACAGTGTACCCCCAGCCACTGGGCGGGGGTGGCTGGGTACAGAGTGGCAGCAGCCACCACATGTGAGCTTCTCCCACCCCTTCATGTCTGGCCGGGTGGGTGGCGCCTGTGCGGGATGTTGCGTGGTGCCCCTGCCTACCCACGCATACCCCCTAGGGCCGTCTCAAGTACCCCTGGGGGTACATGTACGCCTGGTTGACGACCCCTGCTCTACATTAACAACCTTTTTTCATTTGCGGACTCCTTTGGAAATTTCAAATGGAGGTGCAGACCCCTTTAAAATGTAAATGTGGGTATTCACATGCTTCTGATTGATCATAGTCATCTTTTGCGGACCCCCTTAGACCTAGTCTGTGGACCCCTAGAGGTCTGCAGACCACAGGCTGAAAAAAACTGCTCTAAACGACTCCCTGAAATGCTTTCAAATCAGTTGACTCCTGTAACACACACTGACCTGTTATTAACGTGTATAATAACCCAGCTGCCAAAAATATATTTAAGACCTTTTTGATTTCCTGCCCAAGCCCTCTCAGTACCAGGGAGAAGCAGATGAGCCTTGCGGCTTGCCCTGCAGGTCAGTAAACCAGGACAGCTTAAGATCTTTGGAGAGCTAGTTCCAAAGTGGGGAGGAGCGCTTGCAGAGTGCCTGGTTAGCTCCCCATCTGTTACAGAAGTGGGTCTCTGGCTTAGGTGACCCTGCTGATCCCAGGATAAAAGGCAAATGAGAGAAAAAATATAATGATAGGAATGTGTGGTTTTCTATCTGGCTTTCAACAGATTGATCTTCATTTTTTTTTTAATTTCCTCCTCTCCCTCCTGCCCCCCTGCAGGTTTGCAACAGACACACAAAGTATAAGCCAAAGCAGCCCTGCTGTCCATACGTATGACAACGTGAGTAACAGTGATGCTGAGAATATCATTCTTTTAATGGCAGTTTTAAACAGATCTCAAGTCTTATTCTGGTGGCTGTCCAAATGGAAGAGAGATCCATTCCACTCCCTTTTTCCACAGCCGCAGGGAGTACTTTGTACCAGGCCAACTTCCCTCTTGAAATACCACATCATAATTTGAAAGTTTGTGTGAGATACTTGCTTGTCCAGCACAATCTCTGCGGAGTCTGCCTCAGCAGTTCCAGTGTGATTAGTGCATATAACTAACATACTGAGGTCCCTACATGCCACAATTGATTGCTACGTAGTAAATCTCCTGCAGCAAACCATCTGAGTACTTCAAAGTTAAAGCAGTATAGAAACCTTGAGCAAAAAAACAAGTAGCCAAATATATATCACAGGCAAAGCACCATATCCACAAATGAAGCCATTCTCTGCTTATTGCAAGGAATGTATATAGAGGAAAGAAGATAAGATGTTAGAAAAGCAAAGGGTATGAAAACCCAGCTATGCAAAAAGAAATAAATGACTTGCAGCAAAACTTTTGAGGATAGCTGGGGAGTAAGTTGCTCAGATCTTCCTGATGGGAGCTCCTTGCCTAGGTAAGGTTTGCCCCCTCATTACTTGTAGCATAGCCTTGATCTCTTTGAGCTTTTCTATTGTACCAAGTCAAATCCAAGGGCTGAAACAAAAATCTGCCCTGACTAACCATAGCTGCCAGGCAGTCATATGTAGCAAGGAAATTACTCCAGTAATTATTAGTCCAATTTTAAAGGGTTTGTAGTCATAATAAGAACCTGCAGTTCAAATGACAAAAGGCTGTCATCACCCATCTTCCTTGCTTCATTTCTAAAAAGCAGGTGAACAGCCATGTACAGATCTTACAACTTCTGGATCAGGTTTAGAATCCAAAGAAGTAAATTATACAAATGCACATTAGGGTTTTTAAAAATTATCTGGAGAACAGGAATAAATTAAAGGGGTTTTGTTGTCAGACCTTGTGTTACAGGCTCCAAAAAGAAATAATAAAAACCCCAGTTGACCCAGCATCTGCTTATCTGCCTGTTAAATAATATGTTCTGCTCATCTTCCTCAGCTTTTACATCCAGTGCCCCTGCATCTGGTGAACCTCCAAAATGGCAATGCCTTATCACTAAATGAAGCCTTGCCAGGTGCAACACCAGCAGGTAAGTGAAGTAGCTTTACACTTCAACCCAAATCTTAATGTAGGGATCTGGTTTTCTCCTTGGCCTGGAGAATCTGGCATAATGACTGGCTCTGAAGAATCACAGCAGCAAAATACCACTGTCGTAAATGAAGATGGTACAAGGACCTGTGATAAATACATTGAAAACTGTGTTTTTATTTAATATGTAAAGCTGGAAAGCTCATTGGGGATAATTGGGGTGGTGTCTTGTTCCAAATTAAGATCCAAAGCATAAACTTATCAAGCCAATGACATGCTTGCTTTAAAATACAGGTTTGTGTGTTGTCTTCCCTCTTCTTTTCAGATGAATCAAAGAGCAAGTCACAGCCACAGTACTATGAGATAATGGAGTTTGATCCTTTAGCACCAAGTGATGCCACAGAGTGAGTAACTTCAAATATTACTCAAATAGCTTGTCTCCACTTTTTAACAGCATGTGACAGAAGTTTATTGTATGAAGCATTTCTGTCAGTTAAAGTATGCATCACATTAATCCAAGTAACTTGGGCATCCGGTGAGAGCTAGATGGGAGTAGCCAAATTCTGGGAAATTCTTGAATATGCCAGGTATGGCCAATAAAACTCATCTGTATGGTTTGGAGGCAGCTAGAAAATGCTGTATTGCTTAGGTACTAAAAGAAAATAAAGTAAACATCAATTTGAGCAGCACAAACCTGCCAAGAATTCAGCACTGATCCAGCTACATCCATGAACACAGATGATTGGCTAGAGCTGGGTAGAAAATAATGTCATCCTGTGGAGGATTCAGTTATTTCAATTGTTGGGTTTTTAAAAATTCTTCACAGATGGGAATGGAGTCTGGGATCAAGGACTCTCACACCCTCTTAGGAGGCTCGAGGATGAAGCAGTAGGAAACCAGATAGGCTGCAGAATTCAAGCCTGGTTTTCACTGGGACTTTGCCAGAATTTCTGCACATCTTGATTTTTGAGGAATCATCAGAGTCTGATGTGCAGTTGTTCTGAGCAGCTTTAGTAATGTCATGGTCCACAGCAAGAGCTACGTTCTTTTGTAATTTTATTATCGTCTGTTTGCAGGTTTAATCTTTTTTGCTCTCCAGGCATTTACTTCTGCAGACCTGAGATCAAATCCTGATTAGTTCAAAACAAGTGAAATATTTTGAACTAAACAGGAAAGAAGTTCAAATGTGTCTCCTATTCCTAGGTCGATATGTTGAGTAACATCAGAAATGTACACACTCGTGCAGTGATTGGCACTGTGCTGCTTTTGGACCCTAGTTGTCCTACTGCTGCTGTGTCAAATCATTCATTATAAATTCTTAGAGGAAACATTCCTACCAAGCAGGATTTCATTGGAATGCCTTACTGAATACAATGTAGCATAAACTAGTATTTACTCTGCTCATTTTCTTTCAGAGCTATTTACGAAGAAATTGATGCTTATTTGTCCAAACCAGAAGTTAAAGATTCCAAATGCTGAGACAGGAAATGAAGTTTTGTCCCAAACGTTTATCTCTGATGCCAGCTTCGGAGATCTGTTTTCTATCAGTGACAAGCGAATGCAAGATTGCATTCTGAACATAGCAACAAGTATTGGGATTTTAAGTGACAGATATGCTTTACTTGGATATACCATCAACTCTTATCTCTAACACTACACAAAGCCTTAAACCTTGAAGTGCTAATTTTTCAATGGGACTATTCTGTGTGCGTGTGTTGGCAGAATCAGGGTTTACACCTTTATTTAAAACATGCTTTCAAAACTTCCCTATTTAAAAATAATATACTCTGCCTCTGACTTTAGTAGAACACAAGCAGCCTTGTAACTGTAGACAGGAGTTCTGTGTCGCATTAACCGCTGTCATACTGCTTAGTTTTTATGCAGTAAACAAAAATGGAACTTTTATCCATTTACAGATGTATAATTTATCTTTATTTAATCTAACTTCTGACTTGTCATTGTGCAAGTACTTTGAGCGATACCAACCAGAAAAAGAAAACCCTGGAGATTCTTCTGTATTCAGAATTCTCCTACTTCAGGCCTCTTGACTGTTATGTGAATACGTTCACTATGCAATGTTCATTGCCTTTATATTTTAAATCTAAAATCGTAATGATGATGATTTGGTTTTTTAAACCAAATCAGGTGAAGTGCCTGTTCTCAAAACAAAGGGAAACAATAAACTTTCTTTCAACAAACAAATTGCTGCATGTTGTCTCAGTAGAGACTAAATTAAACACCAAATACTCTTTGCCAGGCTCGTCAAGATAGGAACAGATGCTTTAGGATTGTTTGCATCTTGGTCACCATATCCTCCCTTTGTAATTTAATGGGTCTTTTCAAAAACTGGATATAAACCAGCCCGTAGCATTGAGTGGTTTTTGCCAGTGTTATCCTGAAGAGAGGGGCGGGGAAGAGAGGAATAATCCATAGGGATGGAAAAGAACTACACAGATCACAAAAAGATGCTGTTTTCATTAGCAGGGCTTAAGTGCCTATATTTCCATGTTGAATGTAAAATTTGCACTTTGCTGAAAGATGCAGCATTTTTTTAATTTAAAATTATGATCTAAAATATGACAGCTTAGTTAATTTGGTTGTATGACTAGCAAGTGAAATGATAGCCTTATTTAAATGGTGTGTTTTACATTTTGAGTATTTTAATTTCATAAATGTAAGCAATATTAAATTACATTAAGTTCTCAAGCTGCTTCATTGTTGTTTTTGTTAGTACATTAACATGAGCATGAACAAAAAATTTATAGAAACTCACCACTCAAAATGGTGGTGATGTTTTGGCTAACATAGATTTATACCCTCATGCAGAAATCACTGAGGGCAATTAAGTGTAAATACAAGGCAAGACAAGTAGGCTAAGAAGCCTCTACAACAGTTAATATGACAAACTGCTCTACAAACGGCATGGGTAGCAGAAGCTCCAATCTACTTACTGACAGAGAAGCAGACAAAATCATTCTGGTATGCAGCATCAAAGTGGAAAGGAACAGATAAGGCAGGTCAATAAATTTTACTTGAGAAGTCGGAGAACATCAGATGGTAAATGTGATCATGACATGAAACTGAGAATAAGGATGGCAAAAGATGCATTTCTGAAAACGAAAAAAAGATATTGAAAACTAGTAAAATTTCTATGGGGATGAAGTTAAGTTTTGGATTGCTACGTTGTACCAGTCCTCATGTATGCACCAGCATGCCAGACAATGTCGCCAAATATGGAAAAGAGAACTGAAGCAATTGATACGTGGTTCTTAAGGCACATTTTGAAGGTATGTTGGACAAGTCACATTTCAAATGAAGATGCTTTAAGAGCAGGCTGCAGGAGGAAGCTGCTGATCAACATCAGAAAGAGATAGTTGGAGTTTCTCAGACACGTTATGAAGAAATTGAAAGTCTGGTCATAACTGGACAGACTGAAGGAAGGTGACACCATGGGAGACAGAGGTGGTTTTATGTCAAGTCTGTCTAAATGGATGAATGTATCAACACTGGAAATTCTGTATGCCCAGAAGAGATCTGTGGAAGATCATGGTCACCAACATCCTGTTTGGATATGGTACCTAGAGAGAGAGAGAGAGAAAACAATTCCCACCCCCACACACACACAAAACCCCTGCATTTTTTTTTAAACTGACACTTTACACCCTTTAATGAGTACAGTTAAAGATTCGACGTTCTGTCATTACAAAAGATATGCTGGATACCAGTAATTGTATTTACCGCAGTGATATTTGTTTTCAAAGCAACTGTACCTTTTAAAACAGCATGACTTGAACCTGCCTCTCCTCCTCCACCCTCACCCGCTCCCCCTAAAAACAGGGAAGGACAGCAACACTTTTTTTTTTTACAGCACAGTTTCTCAATCATTGTACATGGATTTAACTTACATAGTCTTAAATGGAAGAAGTTAACCATTTTCCCCACATGTCTGAATGTGCCTATTTGCTTCTAGTCTGAAAGATGCCACTGGTTGTGCTTTTGTCAGATTTTATGCATGGGAGGGAAAGGAATGATTGGACTAACAGGTTGGATACTGGATTATGAGACACTGAGAAGGTTTCAATCACTTCTTTGACAGAGTTTTCCATTAAACTAAGGAATGAAAAACTATGAAAACAGGCTCTGTATCATACAGGTGTTGGGAGAATAAAATTCATTCCTTCTTAAGAAGTATTTAGAAACTCTTGTGATAAAGATTATATAACCTCCTTAAAAGAAAAGGCAGATTTAAAAATATAGATCAAGCTGTTTTCATAAGTTTTGGTAGGTTTTGTGACTTTTGTGGACATTTTTGCTACTTTATATTGGGTTTTGAACAGAAACCTGAAAGGCAAAAGTCAGGATGTGGTTCAAAACTGCCATAGTAACATAGCAGAAAATTGCCAATTAACAGCTTTTCTATTTTCAAAGGTATCAGATTACTTTATTGCCCTTTTAAGGGATACACATAGACTTGTAGCTACTTAAGCTGTACTCTGATAATGGCTGTTCTTTTATTCTTAACTTCCCTGACCACAGGATATGGTACTGTTAGCAAAATGATTGCCTGAGTTGGAATTGACATACTATTTCTATAAATATTCCAAAGAGGTCAGAAATAACCACATGCAGTCAGAACATGTAGAATATAGCTCATCCAAAAAGCAGCACCTCTAGCAGCAGTGATCCAAATATGACATTGTGTTTTTTGATTCAGTAATAACTTAAAAAGGATGATTTCCAACCTTCCTTCTATAGCACACACAAACAGGATGGATCACTAAAAAATCCTTATTTAGTTCACGAGATTAGGCAGAGTATTTACAGGAATGAGTATTCATGTTCACTATTTAGGTGGAAGTGTTAATTTTCTGCATTGATTGTTAATCTACTATATATCCAAGAGTGTATAGTAAGGAATAGGAAATCTTTACATCTTGACAACATTTTTTGTATTTGATTACAAAGACTTCCCTTTAGCCACACGTTCTGTCAAAATATTGGAATAAAAAATAAACATCTGAAAGAACAACAATATATACCTGTAATGGTACAATAATTAATAGACATTCATATCGTGTGGTGCTTTGCTCCAATGTTTCGTCTCCTTGTGTCTCTAGAACATCCATATAAACTGGCATTGGCAGGTACCAGGGATTTTATTCACTGTGTCAATATTGTATATTATTGATAACCTGGAAGAGGCAACTTTTGTCCTTCCTTTGCTTGAAAAAAAGTGTAAGAAAGAGTGATCAGATCGACAGTGGCCAGTCTGGGGTCCTCTGCAAATTCAGGATCAATGTAGAAGAAGACAGGCATGTCCACTTCCTCATGGGGATTCAGCCGCTGTTCTTCAAAGCAAAAGCACTGCACACGGAAAGCAGGAACAGTTACAAAAATGTTATACTGCATGCTAGAGCAAAGATCTTCTGCATCTGTTTCACTGTGCTCATAGCTTGACAAGTTTTAAATGTGAAGCAGGACTGAGGTGGAGTTCCATCTCATTGGAAACTTGAGGGTACAGAGACCTCTGTATGATGATGTGGAGACAGTCTTCTACCCTTTGTTGCGTGGACCATTATTTTAATAGAGACTGTCCATGAAATGACCTTTCTCCCACATTTGTGATTGCAAGGATCATTTCTGTTTGGTAAATCCCCTTACTGTGACAATACTAAATACATTAATGGAAAACTACTGGTAGAAAAGTATTAAATAGCTTTTAGTGGATAGCCTGTACCATATGACCAGACAGTTCATCACTACGTGACAGAAAATGCATACATTGCTGTTTTCAAATCTCTCAAACAGAGCTTCAGTATTTGACTTCTATTATTAAAATGCCTAAGCTGAGAGAACAGATCAAGGCATGGCTATTTTAAAGTTCATGCATCTGAAAACCTACATTTTGCAGGTTGTCAGCAAATTAAAATATCACCCTAATATTTACAAAAGCAAAACTTTTGCTCATGGGAGAAGTATTAGGTTAGCATCAAGCTGTACTTTGTGCCTTGGAGTATCACATTTAACTTACCTGTATTTTATTGAAGTATTGCCCAGCTTCAAAAGGCACCACATTATAGGTAGAGATGCCAATTATAGGTTTGTCAGTTGAATTCTTTGCTTTGTAAAAGGCTAGTGCAGTCTCTCCTGGTACCACCTGTTGAATGAAGAATTGTATATTGTGATTTATAGTTCCAACAACCCACTACCCCTCGCACCGAGCACTTTGAGGCGTAACTGATTTATTTCAGAAATATTCATTTCAATCACCCCCCGCAAAAATGAAGGCAGAGTCACCACCTGTCTTTTGTGTTCGAAAAATGTTAGCAAAGCTGATGACACACATCCAGAGGGGAAGTGGACTGGAAATTAAAATAGTCACTGAAGGCCAGGACCAGGTCAGGAGCCTGCCTCCGTGGCATGCTGCTTTAGGGCACTTAGTACGTGGGGGGCATTGGGTTCTGTTGCCCGCCTGCAGGATTATGTCTGTTTTTAACTAGTGACTGTCTCATGTAAAATGTGTGCAGTTCAGGAAGCAGAGATCCAGCAGTCCCCACTCCTGGCTGTAAGCTCTGGCCACTGGGCAGTTATTATTTTTCATTGGCTTTTTCTGGCTCCATGAACCTCATGTTCCTCCAGTGGTCTTCAGCTGGGGGAGGAGGATACTCCCACTCGGCTTAGCCTATAGCCCACAAGGGGACAGAGGACAAAATGAACTGCTGAGAATTTGGTCTAACCATGAGACTAAAAAAGCTGGCACTGCTGCCACCAACTATATCTTTTAATTAAAGTGTCTATGGCTGCTGTATTTTGCACTGAACTCAAGGCTGAGGAGCTGAAGGGCTTGAGGAGCAAAGGATCCAAATGGTCTTAAGAACGTAGGAATTCTCAGATCAAAACAAGTCATTAGGTGCAGGTTAGATCATAATTTTGGACTTATGACTTCAGGTGCCTATGTCCTTCTTTCCAATCTGCACAGAGTCCCAATTCTGTACGCACTCGTGAACGGTATGGACGTGAATGGTCTCGCTGCTGGCCAAGATGCTGAGACTTTTACTGTCAAGTTCAGGTTCTTTCAGGACCAGATTCCTGTACATCCAAGCAACTTGCTCACAGGACCTGGACATAATACTGCAACAAGGCAAAGATTTAAAAAAGAATGATTGATCACCGTGTCACTTACATATATTTCATTTTGCTGAGGTCTGAAACTCCAGTGTAGGCTCGTGTGCACGTCGGCATTGAACGTGACCTTGATGATCCGATCTTTAACGGGTTCCATAGTCTCAATGTGGTCCGAGCCATGACCTGCCACTGCCGACCCTCCAAGTCCAGTGGTCTGTGGAACCAGGGAGAGTTTGTATTACTGCCGTGTTAAGTATAAAATTAAGGACGTTTTGAGGCACTGGGAATTTCACCCTCTGGAAAGAAGTCCCCTGGGTTGCAGATGTCTCTCTCAATGATTTTATTTCTCACTGATTTCATTTCTCAGTAAGCTTCCCTTAATAAATTAAAATGCATTATTTCTGTCAATCATTAGATTTATTTCTCACTGATTTGTCTCAGTAAACTTCCCTTATATTTTCCTATTTTTATTTCTCATTTTACTTATCCCTCACTGCTTTATTTCCCATTGGTTTCATGTCTCAGTAAACTTCCCTTAATACATAAAAATGTATTATTTTTTATTTATTTCTCAATCATTATGATTTGTCACTGATTTCACTTCTCAGTAAACTTCCCTTAACAGATTCAAACGTATTAGTTCCATCTATTTCTCAATCACTGTATTTCCTCGCTGCCCGATCCCTGTACCGCCCGTTTCGTTCTTCGCTCCTGCCGTCGCTCGGGTCTCGGTGACCGCTTCCTTCCCCCTCGGGGACCCGCGTCTCCCCATTTGCCGCCAGGAGCCGGGCCGGGGCTGGGATCGCACCTGGCAGTAGAGGCGGTAGAGCGGCACGGCGGCG